ACAAATCGCACGAGACAACCGTGCCGTGTAAATCAGCCTTTAGGTTCTCGGTCTGTGTGTGTTATGTGCCATTTTCCATTGTGGTGAGATAAAAGAAGGCGTGAAATTCGTTTGCTATATTTTTCATCAATTATCATTAATCGGAGCCGCTAAAAATAGCCCACAGTAACACTCGAAGCCCTATTTTACTCAACCCGCTTTATGTAATTCAGTCATATTTGGTTTATTTTGACAGAAAGTTTAAACCAAAAAAATGAGGCATCCTGTTGAAAAACTCTTTTCAAAAAATGATATGACTACAAACAAACAAATTGAAGTTCTCATAAAATCTTATCGAATTATAGCACCACTGTTTGAATAGAAATAGCCATTCCTTCGTCATTCCGCTTTTCAGCTATTCCTTGTCCAACAATTTCGCATTCGGAGTCTTTTGCTGTAATCCCCTAAATCTTGTTTTATATTAATTCAGACAAATGGCGCTTATTACTATATGCACGCCGGTGTCTAATACAAATATAGTACTAATTTATCGAGTCGTGGTTAACCAAATGTGTTTTTCCTGAGAAATAACGAATAGCTTTAGACTCCTTGCTGAGAGTATGTCAAATAGGAGTGACAAGTAAACACAGTTTTTTAAAGAATTTGTGGTTTTTCGTTGTTTTTATTTTGGCGGGAAACACCATGAAGGGCGTGTTTTGCGTGTTTTTATGGTTTATACGAGGTTCGGCTGTCGTACACTGCTATTGTAGTCTAACAGGTGTTTTTTCTTCCTTTGTCAGAGGCAATGGTAATTCCAGTGTGTCTTCGATCCTTGACCGAATACTAAAGCATGAAAAGTACGACAAGAGGCTAAGACCGAGTTATGGAGGTGAGGCTTGTCAGACGGACGTMGTCTCCTCTGCAGCAGTTTCTTATCCCGTGCTGCGGGGAAGACTAGACGAATAATTGATCATACACTATATCTACACTAAGTAGACATTTTGATTTTGATCCAAATAGGCACACAGACAGTTAGACATATAGATAGACAGCTTTAGTTTTGAAGACTCACTCTTGGTGACTGTAGGCAGAAAGATAGACAGCTAGACTAAGACACACACAAAAAAAAAATACGGATCAACTAGCAATCAACTCGAAACTCGCAATCAACTCGATCAATTCGCAATCAACTCGACTTGGGGCTAGAGGGGGAGTGGAATTGTTTTCTGGTGTAACTTAAAATAAAGGAAATTCACTTGAATGGTTCAAGCATTTTGGCAACGATTGTAGACAGATGACACAGACAAACGCAGGCAGTTGAAGCAAAGAGTTGATATGACCGTTCATTATCAAAGAGAACAAAACTACTGAATTTATGAAAGATTATCAACATTATTAAACAGTTCGTCACGGTTTTCTTGCAGATGGACCTGTCGTTGTCACTGTTGGATTCTGGGTACTTTCCATCGACTCTATTAATGTTGTCGATATGGTAAGTTTACATTTTACACAATGTTTTGAGGAAAGCGTTTCATTCATTTATTTTTTATTCATTTTATAGGATTACACATTAGATATTTTTCTTAGACAATCATGGCGTGATGAGCGAATGGCGCACGAGCTCAACACAACAATGTTTCTCAGCAACACAGTCATGGATAAAATATGGATGCCAGATTCTTACTTTGTCAATGCGAAGTCAGGAAGCTTTCACAAAGTTACCAAAGATAATATGATGATCATGATCAAACCAGGAGGAATAGTACAATACAATGCAAGGTACGTCATGACAACCTCGTTCCTAGTCCCTTATCCCTTCTTTTAGCCGGAGCAGGGCCTGGGAATGCTTCCTTTCTGTATTTGAAACGATAAAAATGAGTTCCTTCTACTTTGGTTTACTTATTTGTTGTTGTTGTTGTTGATGTTAAATAATTTGAGTTGTCTCTTTAGGGTTACTATACGTTTGTCTTGCCCAATGGACTTAAGAGCGTTTCCCATGGACACACAGCATTGTCCGCTTACCATAGAGAGCTGTAAGTTTAGTTGCTTTTAATGAGTGATTTATTGATTATTAATCGATTGATTAGTGGGCCTTCGTCTTTCAGATGGCTACAGTACCAAGCACATTGTATTCAAATGGGAAATTCCTGGCAATGATGGCTTAGGGTTTGTGCCACAAACCTTAAAAATGCTGCCTCAATACAAACTTGCTAAAGTTGAATTAGCAACGTTAAATAACGTTTATGTTGTAGGTAAGTAGCTGCAACACCACGTGACTACATCACATGACAAATATTGGATGGAAATTGAACTCTTCCATTTGTTGCTCGCGATGATGCAAAAGCACGATAGAATGAAAATACTAATGTCAATATCTATTCCTGTATAAACTCAATGTTTTGAGAAATAAAAGAGTAAAAGTGTAAAATTCTTAATTTCTACAGGAAATTGGTCAGGTCTCAAAGCGACATTCACGTTTGAAAGACTGTACAGCTATTTTGTAATTCATGTGTACGGGCCGTGCTCGTTAATCGTCTCCATTTCGTGGGTTGCATTTCTTCTTCCTCGTGAACAAGCGCCAGCTCGTATTACTTTAGGAGTTACGTCTGTATTGACCGTTGTCACCGTTCTCAATATGCTGAACAACTCCATGCCGAAGGTAATAGAAAATCACTCCTGCATTGTCTCATGTATTGGCCTCCTTGTTCTACAATGAAACTGAAATTTTGTAGGTAAATATTCGTAGGCGCAATTTATGTATGTTTTAATAATCGTTTTTGTTTTCGTTGCAGGTCAATTATGTGAAAACTATTGACAAATATCTTATAGGATGCTTTTTATTTGTATTTGCAACTCTTGTCGAGTATTCTCTCGTTCTCTGGTTTTCCAAAGCTATGAAGAAGTACAGACTATGCCGTGAAGAATGGCGGAAACAGCACGATGCTGAAGAAGGAATAGATTCTCAAGTGACTTTCAGACAAAAGGTAGTARCTTTATCTACTATTTATCAACAAATAGAATGAGTGAATGAAAACTCTTTCCAATTAAATAGCGTGTGTTTATGACAAAAAATATAAAGCAAGACAACAAACGATATTTTTAGTGGTTTCAGCGGGGTTCTWATTAGCTCTCGCTTTCTTGTTCAATATTCTTGACTCACTTAGTTGTATTTTGTCGTTTAGATGAATAAAATGGAAAATGGCAAAGTATGCAGCTCTCATTTGGTCAAAATGGAAATGAATGACGTTGAAAAGGAAATGTTTATCAATAATTCTAGACACAGAGATCAAATTCGAACACCAAGACACTTCAACACTTATTTCCCAAGAAGAAAGGTTTCTCGGCCACACTGTACACGATTCAAGGACTTCATTTACTCGGAATCTTTCGTTGGTGGTATAGATGGCTATGCTCTTGTTTTCTTCCCGACAAGTTTTGTTGTATTCAATCTCGTTTACTGGATATCTATCTTCTCATTTGAAGACGTTTTTGGATTTTAGCTCAAAAAGAATTCTCTATTCAATCTTTGAAAGCGAGTTTTTCTTGGCTTTGCGTCATCACGGACAGTACGTGCTCACTCACTGGAGAAAAATGAGATTTTTCAAGCAATGTATTAGATATATTTTACAATAAAAGGTTTACCTTTGCATGACAATTCATCGTTGGAATACAATAATGAGAAATATGGACTCAAAATCAAAGTTCAAGAAAAAAATCAATGACAATCAAAGTTTAAAGAAAAAAGTCAGTGACTACTGAGAATGCGGACTGCTCGTTTGGTCATCCATGTGGGATAAAAATACGACAAAATTGAGCAGAAATTATCTTGACGTGCTATGTATGTTTTAGTATTCTTTAATATAGTTTTCTATTATTTCTTGAAGCATTCAATTCTGATGTTACTATTATTTACGACAGCTCGCATTATAAACGTCGCATGTAAGACTAATAGTGCGAGGTTATTTGTTCATCTTTTTGAATAAACTGCATCAAGGCGCACAAAAATAATTATCTAAAGACAATTATGGACATCCAAGCATTCAAGAGTAACATRAGATTGTGTTCCTCTAAAGTTAAAATTCACGCTGAATTACAGAATGGTTTGGGTTTCAAACTTTAAAGAATTTTTTTCAGTTGAGACTTTGTCATTATTTGGACATTATTGGTATGTGGATAAAAATAGATCAGTACTATTTCAGTTAACATTATCGATCGGAGAGTTTAAAAAAATACAAGTGTTGTTGAAGTTCACAAGAGCTAATTTTCGTACCGTTTCATGATTTACGAAATTCATTTACTGRCATGCCATTTCCGATAGATCAATGTTAATTGAACTACAATCTTTTGCATAATTGTATGAAACACCGTCTATGATTTTCTTACTAAACCTACCATSCCTTTTTGCTATGCCACTTGTCAATGAATTGCTACGAATTCTAGTCCAGTGCTGATGAAGGGAACGTGTGCGAAACCTTGCAGTGGGGAGAGGGGGTGGGGAGAGGGGGTCATAGGGTGTTCATTTATTGCAGAAGATTGTAGCCGAGATATGCCTTACGAATGATAATGATATTTATATGAAAAATATGGCTCAATTTTATAKATATAATATGAAAGTATGAGATATTGGTTACCTTGAGTAACTTCGCCGCGAGCTTTTCAGTCAAGTATAACTTTTTTATGGTAATTTTACTGACATTTATAACAATAAAACGCTAAAACMAAAAWAATTGTCAGTATAATATGGGTGGTTATTGATCTTCAGAATCTGGAATTACTCAGCATTATGAATTATGAAAGAAATAGTCTCCTTCACGGTTACGTGCGCCATATGGAGGTAGCCTTGCCTTTACATTGATGCGAGACAACCGTTAGATACCTGCGAATAATTGTCTGTAGGTGTGAAAGAAGGTTTCTATCACTGCAAGCTCAACGGTCGTCTCGCTTCGATGCAAAGGCACGGCTACCTTTCAAGATAGCGCAGGGAACCGAACGATTATTTTCTCTCAGGCGCGCCTGCTTTCTCTGGTAATTTTTTTCCTCTAAATGTGAGTTCTGTATTCCATTCTCGTTTTTTATTTATTWTTTTTAAGGTAAATCCCAATGCAATATATCCCATTTTCTTCAACCTTAGGCTAAATTATGGTATGTCTTCTAAACCATCTAGCCACTGGACAAGTCCATAGTTTCCGTGACGTGAGAATGATAGCAATCAGTGCTTATTGTTTGAACACAATTCATTAATAAATACTCTATTAAAAAAATTAAAAAAGCCAAGTATTGTTTTGATTAAGATATGAAAAGGATTGCCTCAAAATGCGATTGTTACTAGTAGATGGGCTTCCTGTTTTTTGGGGCCTCCTGTGTGTGTACCCAGGAACGCCTGTCTGTATTCGCCGAGGAGGCGAGCTGTCTAGAATCGGCCTTTATAGTCGTTCAAATCCAAAAAATAACGAGTTTTTTGGCCATGCAATGGCCTCTGGTGAATCAAGAGAGTTTGAAAATACTTTTGGCGATTATGATGGATCTAGCAAGCTTTTAAAAGACAATGGAGAGGTTAGTATTTGAACCAGCATGCGACTCGTGTTGTCCACTTGACTGACTGAATTGACAATCTTTKGCATTTTTAATCTTTATCGTTCAACCAAACAAGGCAAACTAAATCGTTAGAGATATCTACCGATGTGTGAGTAAATGATAATAATATTCAATCCATGACCAACGGGAAATTACCGATTAGATTAAGTATGATAAATCCCTAGCTATAAGCTTAATGTACATGAGAGTTTACAGTTATTTATTATTATCGTAGCTTCAGGAACCGTTTTACTCCAAACTCAAGGRAGAAACACTTCGACTATTGACAAGATTTGAGGAAGGTTTTGAAGAAGAGCGSGATGACCATAACTACTCTGTTTATACAGGAACTGGAGGTCTGYCATGCATATTTTAYACTWTTTCATATGCACGAAACTCTGTCAAACAATGATTTTGACACTTTTTTCAACCGCTAGTTAATTCATTTGTATCACTAGTCCCTGATGATGGATCGAACGATCCGAAAGCTCGGAAAATAAAACATATACAAACGTAGACGAAGCAGTGTTTAGAATATGACTCCTACGTACAGAGAAATATTAGATTTTGACACTATTCTGAACAGAACATTCTTTGTTTTTTTTTATCTTCAGGGGTTGCATTTTTGTTTATGCATTTAGCTAACACATTATTCAAGGATGATCCCCCAAAGCAAGAAGAATATCTGAATAAGGCTTTAGAAATACTGGAATTTGGTGCACACAACCTCACAGGCAGGAGAAGTACTTTTCTCTGTGGAGATCCWGGTAATATTCATTTATGAATTTATTTGCATGTTTTCCTTCTATCATAATTTTTTTCCTATGTATTTCTTTTATTATACAAATATTTTCTTCATGTAGCTGTCAATTATGAATACTAAATTAATAATTGATTATTGATTAGTTGATTGATTGAATATTTGTTTGAACAATTGATTGATTGACTGATTATGGTTGCTGCCTGCTCTTRTAATCTTTGGTTGGAACTATAGCGGTAAACTAGTGTGAGCTGTGTCGGTGTTTCTAAAGAAACAGTTGTGTAAAAAGATAAATTTAACACCGTAAAAAAAAGTATGTGAAATAACTTATTGACAATTCGGACGTTAATCCTTCGTTGGATTTACTCCATTGCCAGACTACAAAGGAGTCTAATTCATTCTATGGTTTATGACAGGTATTCTTGCCCAGCTAGCAGTTATTTACCACAAATTAAACCAACCTAAAAAAGTCACCAAGTATTTGAATAGACTTGAAATCATGTCTGAGAAAGTATGCAGAGAGCAAACAATACCAGATGAAGTGTTATATGGAAGAGCCGGCTACCTCTATAGT